GAAGAATTCAGCAGGACCTTCCATTAAAGATTTCATTATTAGATCACCTTCTTTCATTCTTTCAATAAAATTCAAGAATCTGTCTCTCCACTGATTGTAATCACCACGAAATAGAACAGGTGGCTTGGTATCAGTACCAATAGCCATTGCTTCTCGTGAACTCATCGTATCAATTTGTATGAATTAGAATCAACTTCAGTTCAAAGTTTGAATTAAAAGATCAGTTTACAAAAATATATCTGATAATATGTAAACAAAACTTCGCACACATTCAACACTTAGAACAATTTATGCACAAACACTTGACCGGATTACTCTTATCCGGATTAGTAATCCGGTGAAGTTTATCCGTATTGGAAGTCCGGTCAACAAGATAGAATAATCAACAAGTTATCCGGATTAGAAGTCTGGACAACAAGCAACTTTAAATTGCCCAAAAACTCTTAACCAGATTTGAACCAAAAATTCAAAAATACACGGATTATGCAAAATGAAATACGGATAAGGCACAAAATTCAATTTGATTTCAAATTCTCAAATCGGAGGTTTTCAACACTTAGTCAAAATTCCAAAATGAAAATCGAACGTAAAAAGTCAACAAGTCTACAAGTTGAATATGCCTCATATCATGAAGAAAATGATACTTCTAAGCATGAATATGCCTCATATCATGAAGAAAGTCCTACACAAGTTGTAGAAACTGATATTGATCTTGAGAAAAGAAAGAAGGAAAATCAAAGACAAAGTAACTCTCAATGCTCTTCCTTTGCAACTCAAAGACCAAATTACACATGGCAACAATTGAGAAATTGGCCTCAATCTAACACTGCTTCTGTCTCAGTTAATGCAGGAAAACCAAAGAGGGGATCAAAACAGAGGAGAACTAAAAACGATTTCACAAAGGAGCCTAGAATAGGGAAGGAATCTTGTAAAGAAAAGCCCATACCTAAGAAGGGCTCTAAAAATAAAAACTCTGTACCCTTCTTGGATGATTTTAATGAAAATTTTAAGAAAGCCTCTTGCAATGTTACCTTCTGTGATTGTTTCAATATTATGCAAGCTCTATCTAATCATATTCACCATTCATCCTGTCTGGTCTCTCACCCCAAGAACCATGGATCTAGGGTGAACAATAGACAATTTGGCAATTCTTCTTCAAAGAACAATAAGACCAAACCAAAAGATGCTATGGAATACTTCAAACAGGCTAATTTTAAGGGATCCAATTGGAAGTGGGTACCCAAATTAAACGTTCTCTAAATGCAGAAGAAGCAGCATGTGTCTACTTGGGTCGTTGACTCAAGATGCTCGAGACATATGACTGGTACCTTAGAGCTTCTGTCATCATACCTAAAGAAAGAAGGAGGTTCTGTTGTATGTCTTGTTTTTAAATTCTCTTTTTGTATATAGTTTTACTTCTTGGATAACCTTCACTTGTTTTCTTAGTTAGCAGGTTTACCTCGCAGAGCTGTGCAAGGTTTGAGGGGGAGTATGTGCTTGAAAAGGAATAAAACCTATTGAAGAAGCAAAACGTTTTTCATCACAGAAGTCTTTTCACAGATCCTCTGTGATACCTCTCAGAGGCTCTTTGAACGGATCCTCTGTCGATACCTCTTCTTAGGATTTTAAATAGTTTTTAGTTTGAGGGGAAGCCATGGAAGCTGGCTTCAAGGGGGAGTTTTGAATTGAAAATCAAAACCTCAGAAGGTGGCAAAACTTTTGAAGTATCTTAATCTCAGAGGTCAACTCATCAGAACCTCTAGCGCTTCTATCAGAGGCTCTGTGGGTCTGAACTGAGCAAGTACTCATCTCTCTGAGGATTTTCAAACCGTTTAGGTAAATAAAGGTGTAACATGTTAGAAGTCCCGGCACATATCACAGAGGCTCTGTTACCCTTAGGCCTATGAGAGAACTCATTTCTATAGTTTTATATTATTGATATGGTGCGCGTGGTTCTATGGATAAGGGTTAAAGTTGACCATGCGCGTGTCAGAAACGGGGGCGCACGTCATCAATCGTGCGTCTTTCCAACACCGCGTGTCATATTTTTGATTCGTCTCTCCCAATAGCCACTCATCACGCTATATCGCCTAATAGACAGTTCCCATTCAAAATCCCTCACTATAAATACCCTTCCCCCCAAAACATAAACCTCTTCATTACTCCTTATACTCCGACGAACCTCAAGCTTTTCGCCTAAACCTGCAACAATGTCTTCAAGCTCATATGCCTCCATTCAATCTGTGAATAACTCAAGCGACAACAAAGTAAATCAATCACAGGCACTAACTTCTCATGCCCTATCGTTCTTCCAAAATCGATATGAGAGAGTGGTACTTGTAAAGAWACCTAACAACTACTATTTCGCTCCCTCACCAACTGGCTTCCCTGAATACACATATCCTCTTCTCGAAGTCCTTCGCAATCACCCTATATATTACGCTCTCACAGCAACTAAACCTACCCCAGAAACCTATATTACCCAACTTTTGCTCAGTTCATACATTTGTACCCTGGAGAATTCTGGATTAAGCATATAGGTTATGCTTCACACTCTACTGTCAAATCTCTTGTTCCAATGGAAATGAATGTAAATACCCTACGCACAGCCCTGCATCTACCCTTCTTGGAAGATCTTAATTTGGATACCTTCGCTCCATCTCCTACAGACGCATAATTGATCGAGTTCCTTGAATTTCACTCCTACACAGCAAAAACAAAAATCGTAAAAATGACTGAATTCAAAAGGAAGGGCCTTCCTCCTTTGTGGAATACTCTGTTTTCAATAATTAATTGTTGTTTAACGGGGAAGGTCGGTAGCCACGACCAAGCTTTACATGCCATGTTTTCCATCGTTTATGGAATCTACTTCAATCTACCCCTGGATTACGCACAACTCATCTATGATGATAGGGTGAGTCTAATAAAAAAGAAGTGTGCTACTCAAAGGGGTTAGAAATCAAAGGTGAAGGCACAGAAGAAAGCCAAAGAAGACCTCAATCACCCAAACTTAATCCTACAGAGGTTCTTTGGCTTRGTSTTTGGAGATATGATAGCAGAGAAGCTGCCCTCTGYAGAGCCAAATGCACGGCTATACCCAATGAAGGAGTTCCACCCTATAGAGCATGAGCTAGGGTACAGAAGCCCAAGGCCACTATCAAAAGCCATGCTCAAATACCTTAGCAGAGGAGATAGGAAAGCGTATAGACGTGGATATACAGGAGGCCAGAGCCGGTCCCTGAAACCCCTCCATACATAGGTATCCCCATAGGAGAGAGAGTGCATAAAATGAGGGTTGAGGGAAGAAGGGAGGAGCCTGTAGAGGCTAGGGAGATGAGTGGGGAAAGACCGAGGGGTAGTTAGTCCCCCACGAAGCACTAAGAAGGCAAAGAAGACTCACAAGGATGTTGATCCTTATGAGAAAAGGAAAGGGAAGAAGAGACCCGCAGAAGAAGAGGGTCCAAGCAGTCCACTGCCAAAACCGAAAAAGAAGAAATCGAAGGCCCAACCCGCAGAGGTTGAGGTGACAGAGGCTGAAATCCAAGAAAGCCCAGCAGAGGTTGCTCCTAAGTGCAGAAGGTTGCGCAAGACTGTTCAAGTAAAGTCCCCTACAAAGCAAATTCATGATGTAATCTTCGATCTCCAACGGAGTTTTAAAGCGCCCATAGAGGTAGTAGATTTGGGGACAGAAGTCATACTAGATGACGAAGAGGAAGAAGTGGAGTTAGAAGAGGGTGAAAAAGATGCCGAAGGCACATATCCAAGCCCCCTACCCAGTGCAACCCACATTTCTAGGGACCCTGTTCTAGAGGGAATACCTATTGAAGAAAGCGTGCACACGCTGAACCCAACCCAAACCTACCTCGCAGAGGACATTCTTTCGTCCTCTGTCGAATGCACAGTCCAGGAACCTCAATCTACTCCAACATCCTCTCAAAAGGATGGTGGTTTTACAAAAAGAGTCCATTCGCCCAAGGACTCGACACTACAAAGAGAGGCATCCGTAGCCCCTCCATACATACAGAGACTGAGGGTCCAGAACGCCCAAAGTCTCCACTCGATCCCTCTGCCTAATTAGGCTCTGAACCTATTAGGCACGAAATCGAAAGAACGCCGGTAGGCTCTCCAATTGGGAATGTCCGAGGATCTGGTGGAAGTCCCCAATATGACTACGGTAAATCAGTCACTGAGGGCGCCATACACTCCAAGGCTACTAGGTCACCATGTGTTGGTGATCTATGTTCCCCGAGTGCCTATGTGACGAAGGAGGAGTTGCAAACCTTCGCCACAGTGGTATTCCAGAGGTTGGATGAGTTGAAAAGCTTGTTCTCCTTCAAACCGGCGACAGAGACACTTACACCTCTAACAAAGGCTCTGAAGGAATTGACTTCTACAACTCATGAACTAAAGGCGACCTTATCAGCCCTTCAGAGCTCTGACCCCAATAAGGCTGATCTAACAGAAGCCTTCAGCGCACTGTCTCTCAACCCCTCTTCAATCTACACGCTCAAAATAGAATTAATAGAGGTTGCCACCCAATATGCTGCAGATGTAGTTTCCGTCGGCTACACAAACTATTCTGCCTTCAAGGATGAGATCAAAGAGTTGTTCTCCTCTGCTGTCACTTATGGCATCGATTCTTCATCCTCTAAGGTTAACATTAACCATCTAGCCACTCGCAGAGAGCTAGATGCAATGGTTGAAGCCTTTGGAGAGACCGTGCGGAAATACAACGACCATCTTCTCAAGGAAGCCTGAGCAACCAACGAATCAATAAGAGACTGCACAAAGAAACTCATCGCAGAGGGTAACAACTTCAAAAATGAGATCTATTGCTGCATCTCTACCTTGAAGTGGGCCACAGAGATTGACATCAACAATGCCTCTATGAATGCTGAGATGGTCATTGAAAAGATGGAAGTCTCCTTCTCTTTTTCCGTCTCTTTCTCCCTCTGGGATGAAGAATCGCTGAAAGAGACTCCTTTCAGAGTACTGGCGGGTTAGTGGTTCTGAATTATGAAGTCATCATCATTGTCGTCTTTATCATCATTATCATCAACATCCTTTACAGCATCAGGAAGGGTTGGAGAGTCATTGTCATCTTCATTGTCATCGTCTTCATCATCATTTTCCTCATTACCAGCATCAACTGCAGGGGCGATTGGAAGATCTTCATCATGAGCTTTAGCATCAGATCTGATGGCATCATCAATGACCTCAACTTCATTAGCTTCATGGGAAGTGATGGTTTCATCAACAATCTCTGCATCATTAGATTCAGCTCTAGGAGCATTAACTTCTGCCTCAGTTTTAGGGACAGCAGCAGCATCATCCAAATCTTTTCCCCCTCTTTGTCATCTGCATGACTAGAGAAGATGTTATCAAGAATCAGTGCTATGATGTCCATCGGTTGTTCAAGCTCTCTCAACGATCTAGCTTTAAGAAGAATGACTTCGAGAGCTTGATCCAGCATGAGGCAATCCATCGCTATGATGGAGGGCATAGGAGTACCCTTAATTGGCTTTACTGGTTAGAGCAAAGATAGCCTCAACATGGGTGCATATAGCAACTTGCATATCGCAAAGCTGTTCCTTGACTACATTTATGTCAGCTTTGGTAGCTGAGAGGTCAGAGGAAACTTCAACCCTGAGAGCCATGCCTTTATGGACTTCATCCATTTTTAAGAAGACATTCTCTACGGACGGAAGTAGCAGCTTCACGTCATCAGCACCATGTTATATTCCTCTTCCATGGCTGGCGTTCCATCATCGGAAGAACCTGAAAAAGAATATGGTTGAGTATAATATAGCTCGGGGTTAGAAGAAATAAAAGGTAGGTTGGAGGATTACCTGAGGATTTATCAGCACCATCTGAAGGATTAATGTTGGTCCTCTCCAGGTTGCCTTCGTGAACATAGGCGTCTATTAACTGAGGTGTTTGGAAAGGAGCAACCTCAGGTCCTGTGGTGGGTGCTTCATCAGTGAGTACAATCGTTGATGAGTCATGAACATGTGTCGAGACCAAAGAAGGAGGAGAGGAGAAGATGGATGAGAGTGGTGGAAGTGGGTGCTCAATAGTGGCTATACTGATATTCACACCTTCGGTGATTTGGGTCACTGAGGTGGTTGGGATCGGAGCCATAGGTATGGCAGTGACTGTAGATATCACTAAAGAGATTGGAGGAGACGTAGCTGAAGGTGCCTCGTGGTTAAGGCTAGTTTAAATAGTTGAAACCTTTTTAGAGGAAATAGCTAGAGATGTGGTTATCCCTATTTTGGCTTTCTTGGCCCTCGATGGAGAACCAAGAGTGGTATAAGAATAGGTTCTTTTAGAAGAAGGGAGGTGGTGGTTAGGATTGACTTTGAGGGTTTTCCTTAGTCTTGATCACCGAAGCAAGGGAAGAAAGTCATTCCTGCATAGCTGGAGAAGCTGAAGAAGGACATGCAGGCACAATTGAGGAGAGTACAATGTCTTCAGTTCTTAGCTTATGATCCAAGGTTCTGGATCCAAGCTGGTAGATAGGCAGGTTGCCTTCTATGGAGTACTTGTTGCCAAAAATCTTAGCAAACACCATGGATAAGAACCTGGTGTAAGGTACTACTTCTCCTTCTTGCGCTTGTTCAGCTTCAACACCAAATCTTCAAAGATCATGCCGGCAAACTTGATTGGGCATTGGCAAATGACAGAAACACCAATGTTCTAACGCAACTCTAGATGCTTGATCATGTCCACCAGGTTTTCCTTCCATACATTGTATGAATTGAGAAAACAAGAACTGCCAACCCGTAAACATACGGTTCTTCTAAATTTTTGAAAGCGACTTGAGGGGATCGCTGGAATCCTTCTTTGTTGGCCATCCATAGCCAATATCATCGAAGATAGAGATGATATCTTCAGTGGAAGGGTCACTGGCGTAAGGACCCTTTGATAGACGGACGGCGGTCCATAGCGTTGTAACGCCAAAACTGACAGTCATCCTGTTGAAGGTGAAGGAGATTTTGTCCACCTATTGACCAGTCTTGTTAGTATCGTGAACAACTTCAGCAGTGAGCCAAGACTTCTGAAGAACTTCCTTCACCATCATTGGTTCATGGGAGATAGGGGAGTTTCTGAGGAAAGTAGAATCTTCCTCGTAATAGCACTTCTTGGTCGGAATGTCTAACGAAGCCAGATGATTATTTGGTTTGAAAGACATGTCGTCAATTGAAAAGTTAACGTTTTTTGCAGACATTTATGTTTTAAGTATGAAATAAGAAATAACAGATTTGATAGTAATCCAAGATATAGTTGTGAGCTATTAAGTTTTAAAACAGTAAAACTTCTTTTGGAAAATCCATCAAGAAAATATTAGGGTTTTTCAAGAAGAATAAACCTTAGATTATAACCAAGTAGGAGAACGTGTCAATAATCTTTATGTTGGTCGTTTAAGAGAACAAGATCTTAAGCGACCTAACATTAGTTTCTTAGAAGAAGAAGAACATATCAAGTAGAAAGAAAATATATCAACCTGTAAAACTTAGAAGAAAAAGTTTGAAAGGTTTAAGAGTGCTTTAGTTCTTGCTTGGAAATGATTTTGAGGCAGAGGTTCGAAAAAAGTATTTGAAAACGTAAGGCAAAAATGAGAAGAGAAGTCTCATGTTTATATGTAGGAGGAGAGAGGAAAATACAACTTTTAACGTTGTGCAATGATGAATAAAGTAACACGTTCTCATCCACGATTGGATGGATTTTTGTGACAATTCGTCACTTTGGGACTTCAGGGTAGTACCTTATTTCAAGATCTTTATTTAGAACTAAGTCTTTCTAGGATTTAGCTTCGATGATTAGAGAT